TCACTATTTTTTTTCAATAATACCATTTCTGGTCTTTAAAAGACAAACACAAATCTGTGATGCAATATATAGAACCAGGAAATAAAAAATGTAAACCAACAAGAATTCTCCTAGTTGTTGTTAGTTTGTTACTTTTAACCAAAAAAACGAACCTTCATACAGGCCAACATTTTCTTCCTTAAGCAAGTGGTTCAGTGGTGTGTGGTTTATGTGTGTGTGAGAGAGAGGTTATTATTTTACTTTCCTATAGTGGTTTAATTAACACTAATTGAGTATCTTGCTTAATTAAGCTTTAATGCTTTATTCATATTTTTTCTTTTTTTATTCATGAGCAAACGTGCCAAACCCATTAGCTTGTGTCTCCTCTACCTCTTTGATTCTGTGTATTACTTTAGTCCTTGCAAACAGTGCACAGAGTTATCCATTTCATTGAAAGTATGGCTTCAAAGAAGGAAACACGACCAACAAGAAAATAATATGTAATTGAATCGAGTACATTTACTTCAAGAAATGATGTCTCCCTTTCCACGAAAAGGGAAAATGTTTTCACACCAATAATATACATGAATCGAGTACACCATGAAATGTACTCCCTCCGTCCCCTTTTAAATGGGACGGGAGACGGTGGCACGAGTTCCAAGAAAAGTGAGTTTGTGTGGTTGATATTAATTGATAAAGTAATAATAAAGTAAGAATGATTTTGAGCCACACAAAGTTTACCAAATAAGGTATGGGGCAATTAAATAGGGACATCCCAATATGGTAAAACGGGACATTTAAAAGGGGACAGAGGGAGTATCTAGGTTTCGTAATCTCTATGAATATTGGCATGAATGAATGAAATGAATATCTGATATGAACAGGTAAAAAAAACCATTTATTTTTAAGCCCATATATTTACCTGCAATGTCTATCATTTTCTTCATTGTTCAATTTCTATGTCATATATAAGTTCGATCTCTATTTAAGCACCTCACTCCTTTTTTAGGCAGATAAAGTTATGATACTTTATGTAATCTATACACAAAATCCCGTGACGGTTCTTCCAAAAAGATTCACACAAGATATTCGTGCAGCATATTTCATTTTTAAACTGATGACATTGCCTTTGTATATAATAACTACTTAAACTTTGTTAAAATTCTTGATCTATTAAGCGTTTTTTTAAACTGTATGAAGGGTTGATCTATATTTATTCTTTTTAACACTGATTTCATATATTCATGTTCGCTAGACTTCAAACTCTTTTGGAACTAAGACTTAAATGTTGTTGTAAGCATTCTTGTTTTTAAACAAGATACGATAACCTACAAGTTTTAAAAAATTGGCATTACCCCAATTAAGATGAAAATGAACTTCAAAGAATAAAAATTATGAAATGTGGTCTCAAATACTTTTGATATTTGTCTTCTTTTTGTTCAAAAGTAAATGAACTTCAATGAATCTTATTCTATTATTATTATGGTTATTATAATGATCTTGGTTGTTTTATTTCCCCACATACAATCTATGCTACAAATATTTTATTCGTGAAGTTTCTTTATTAATTTCTAACAAACTATGTATACAAATAGTTTACTCATAATACCCACATATTCTCTCAACATAAATGGTCTTGGACATTTACAAGAACGCACACCTCTCTCTAACAAAACTTGTGGAATATTTTAGGCTTCATTTGACTTTGGAGGTATTCTGTCGGCAACAAAGTTTATATTTCTCAATTTTGGGCTACTATGTTTAACAGGTCGGCTTGTCGTTCCGCTCCTAATCCTTTGTAGCATCGTTTTTAAGGGGGCAGGCTACAGCCCTCCCCATTTAGTTTTTTGTATATCCCATCTTTTAAATAAAATTCTGGAAAATGCACCAGACACTTTGCCTACTGTTAAAAGTGATTCTTTTGGGCAAAAAAAAGGTCAAAGTACAATTATATATATAATGGACCATTGTCAATTATTCTAGTAAAGAGTGCATAAAAGCATGTAATGAAAAGGCATAAGATGTCGGTTTTCAAAACAAAAAATAGAGCATAATAGCCAAGGTCTCTGTAGTGTCAACACTCACTATAGCTCCCAACAATCATGACCCAGGTTTGCAGATCACACGTACAAGGACCTTAGCAGATAAAGCTCAAGTAGATTTATTATATTTGAGATCTCACTAAAGGTTGAAGCTATTTTATGACATCCACTTGCAAAAGGGATGAGAAATGAGGAAAAACATGCTTTTGATAAAATAGTGTTTTTATTAGCAAATGCTTCTAATGATCATGAAAAGGGCATGATTATCAAATGTCAAAGTACAGAGAATTGTTATGGCAAGTGCTAGAAAAAAATGAGGGTAATAATTACATTGCTGTAAATCAGAGAGTGAGAGCTTCTTATTAGCTACCTACCAATCTTCTCAACAGAAAATTAAAAACAAAGTCTTTAGCTACAAATGAAACCAAATTAAAACCAGATACATTAGTGTGAGATAAACTTAATTTCTAGAGAATATTTTAGACCCAATTTAATATGATATCAAATTATCAATGTTTGATCAGATAGCCCTATCTGGACACATGAAGTGTGAAGTATAACGTCTTATATCAGATATTTACAAGTTTGAGTCTAAAACATAAGTATGAGGTAAACATTATGTCAAAAAAAAAACCTCATACAATATGCTAGACCTAATATAATACTAACTTAAACATTAAACTGAAGAAGCAATACCTGTCTAGCTGCAGCTTTCTGGACAAAAGAGGGATCCAACCTTTTACTATTATTATTATTATCACTTGAATCATATAAAAGACAAGAATTTCTCTTAGAGAAAGCATGCATATGTATCTTTTCCAAAGCCAATTCTCTTTCACTCCAATCAGTTTCAGGATAATCATCCATTTCACTATGGCCATTAAACTTGCTGAAATCCCTAACTGCACCTTGGCTTGGCCACAAACACCGGCTATACTGTGAAGCTTTAGACTTCTTCTTCTTCTTCTTCTTCAAAGGCTTCTTCTTCCATCCATCTTTGCTGCTTATACCCAAAGGATACTCTGATTCTCTCTTCTTATCCCCATCAACACTATTTGAAGGAGAAAAGTTAAGAATATGTAAAGAATATATTTACCAAGCAGACATAGTCAACCAAACATGTTAACAAACACACAGTATAAAGAATTAAGCACAAAATGAAGAGGTAAATTGGGTTAAAGTTAACAGTGAACCATTGAATCATTAGGTAAACAAAATTATTTTGTTAAAATTGGATTAGCTTCTACTCCTATCAATTCGATTATTTTGAAATAGCTAATCCAATATCCTAAATTTATTTTTGTTTCAAGCTCAAAATAGGTTTAGGCATAAGTCGACAAAGTCCAAGAATGGGGGATTACGGGATAAAAGATGAAGGGAGTGAAGCCTCACCTGCAATAATCAAACATCCCAGAAGTCCACAAGTCCAGGAAACTATCAGCTTATAGGAGAGGAGAAGATGAAGGGAGTGAAGCCGCATGATCGAGGAACCCCAGCGCCGATTTCTGGACTGAAGGTTTGAACCCTGGGAAGAGATGCTCAGTTAAGCGAAGAAATGAGGTTTGTATACTGTATATGAATTGAATTGATAGGAGTCGGAACTCAGAAGTAGAGCTACGAACGAGACGTGAAGTTAAACACGACGAAGTCTACGAACAGGTGGTTTAATTAACGGAAGTCTGGAGTAGAGAGTACTGAAGAAATCAGAAAGGTACTATGCCCTTACAATAATGTACAACTCCATCTAGCTACACTATACTACCAACAAATTTTTTTTCCCAAAAGGGTATTAACCCTCATTCACCCTTATAATATTTTAGATTTTGTATTTTTGTTTACTCTTTATCTTTAGTATATAAATAATTTAGACATAAAAAATACGGACTAGCATGTATCATTTTAACTTCTATACATTTCATGCATTCATTATGACACGATTAGCTAATACGAGATATTTGTATTTGTTATGTTTTGTATTCTACTTGTATGAAAAATATTTGACGACAACAATAACAAATTACATTTATATTTTTACATGATTCATTTGAATAAAGTTGTGAATATTACAACATTTGCACCACTTACTCATTTAGTTTTCTTTGAATACTTTATGTGATATTATAAGTTATAATCAACTATAAATTTATTTTTTGTGAGACATTTATTTTATTTCATTTTATTATTTATTTAAATAAATAATAAATAAAAGAAGATGAGATATACTCCGTAGAACTTTATCAAATAAAATAATAAACATAAGAAACCGAATCAAATCAAACTAAATTGAACATAATAATTTTCACTTTGGTAAACCGAACTTCAAACCGAACTGAACCGAAACACAAGTGACTTTAATTTTGTACAAATTATCCCAAATCAAATAAACCGAAACCAAACTGAAACCGAAGAAAACCAAATCTACCGATCCTGAAATCAAAAATCAAATATACCGAATTACCCAGTCATATCTTTTTAATTTTTTTCCTGCCGCGGGTGGGACAGAGAATGACGCGGGAGCAGAGCAGCCAAATCTCGCTAACACCTGTCACATACCTCCAATCCTCTTCACTTTGATGGATTTCCCAATCCCATTCCCCATTGATGTACGCACATAAAACAGAAGATGAATCTTCTCCACGCCATCACTTCAATTCTTTTTATAAAAAGAGATAAAGCTTCAATAATGACCTTATCATCATGACACAACCTCGGTTAACCTTATCTGCAGTTAGCTCGACCATGATTGAGATGGTGGAGGTTGTTATAAATTGAGCTCACCACTTCCCAGATCCTGCCATCACTTCTCATCTTCTACTCCCCTTCATCTCGCAGCTGGTTAGTTTCGTGATCAATTTAAACTGAAAACCTTCAATCGATCAATTGATTAATCTTCTTCAGTTTGATTTGCTATTAGATCAGATGATCGAGCTAAATAGTTGTCGATTATTATGATCGAGGTTTATTGTGTGAATTCTGTAGGTGGAAATAATGTCGACGGCGAGCAACGGCGATTTTAGCTTCGCCACCGGCGGAAAAGGTCGAAATGGCCTGGCGAAGATCCAGACGCAGAAGACTAAGCAGGATGAGATCTGCCATGACGACAGCGCGCAGCCGGTGAAGGCGAGGACCCTGGACGAGTTGCATTCGCTGCAGAAGAAGAAGTCGGCTCCGACCACTCCACTCACGGCGACTAACACCCCCTTCGCCGCCGCTGTCTCCGAAGAAGAACGCCACAAACAGCAGCTGCACTCCATAAGGTATTTTCAATTCTCGTATACACCCCTACAAAACTAAATTTCATGTACATTTGGTTGTTATCTTAATATCTTACTCCGTATATACTCCTACAGTCCTACGTAGTAGGAAGTAAATACTCCGTATGTACTAGTATGTCATTTGTATATTTGTATGGTTAATTTGGTTGTTATTAAGCCGATAAAATTAAAACATATCGAGTATCATCTTAGTCTCATACTCCTACCGGTGGGCATAGCTCAACTGGTAGCAAGGAGTGCCACAAGGGTTAGGTCTCGGGTTCGAATCCCGACAACTGCGATGAGGGGTTACTATAATGAAAAAATGCATATGGCCTCTGCAAATATCGGGGACAAAGACTCACTCTCTATCTGTCAGATTGTGATTATAGTCCAATTTACATCCTCCCATCGTGCCGTCCGGTCGGTGTTGGGGGCCCTCAGGGATGGGGTGTCATCCTTTTTTTTAGTCTCATACTCCCTCCGTTCAGACAAAAGTAAAAACTGTGTGATTGAAATTTGTGAGAGAATTAATTTTAACCATATTTCTTACTTTAAATGGAAATCACAAATCTTTTTGGCACATTCAAAAAAGGAAATTTGGCCAACTTTTTCGGGACGGAGGGAGTATTTGGTGTTTTGTTTTGATTTGACATGATTATTAATAAGGTGGTTGAAAAGTAAAAATTGTGATTGAAATTTGAATAGAATAAAGTGAAATATTAACAAATATCTATTTCTTTCCAAAAAAATAGAATATTCATTTAGAAACAACCAAAAATAAAATAAAAGTAAGACAACAAAATATTGAAATAGGACAAAGGGAGTAATAAAGAACAAATCTCCCAAATATTCCGTAAAACTTTAATGAAATGAGCAGGGAGGGGAGATGAGCATACAGGGGTACAGGGGGTGGCAATGTTTCGGAGGACCTCATATCTACGCTCCCTTAATAAAGGGAAGAGTCAATTAAGGATGTTTTTACTTGGACTGTAATTTGCTGGTCTGGTCTGATCTGGTCTGGTAAGGTCTGGTTTCTTTGTATTTTTATAACTATCCAAGTCTGGTCTGATCTGGTCTGGTCTGGACTGGTCTGGTCTGGTCTGGGACAAATTACAGTCCAAGTAAAAACATCCTAAGTAGCACTCAAATTGATCTGTTGAAATGATGAAATTAAATTTGCTAGGTTATGAAAATTAAATTACATATTTTATTAATGAAATCAAGGAAAGAAATGAAAATTTTTAAAGTGATGATCTTTTATGATAACTTCGGTAAAATCAACCAGAAAATAATTTTAATTTTACTTATATTGATTATTACATAAATTAGCTCGTGAAATCAAAAGTTCTATATCCATTGAAAAACTAGCTGATAAGACTATAAACAGAAAACAAAAAATTAATTTTGTGAATCCTCGTATGATTCCCTTATGCTGTCATATTTTATGCAATCCTACAACGTGATGACCACATCTAGGGACTAGGGGTGGACATATCGATTTGATTTAACCAAACCGTACCCAATCGAACCAAATCGAACCGAAGTCGAACAATATGCAATTTGGTTTAAGTTTAGTAGTATTTCTTCTAAATCATATTAAACCGAATCAAATCGAAACCGAATCGAAATAAAGAAATTCAATAGAATTGATTGAACAGAAATTTGAATCAATCAGCCCGATTGAGTGTTTGGTGCTCTCAACATATGCAGTTGGACATGCTTTCCAAATAGGGATGGACTTGGGTCGGGCCGGGGTCAGGCGATAATGGTTTTTGAAACGTTGGTCCCGGGCCCGGATCGGTACTCATCCATTTTTTTAAATAGGCGTTGGTCCCGGACCCGGCCTGGATCCGACCCAAACAATCAAGCCTGAAGCCTGCCCCATATGACCACCGGTCTGAGCACTAGGCCTCCCGGTCCCGGTCCCGGTCCCGGTCCCAGTCCATCCTATTTTGTCAGATTGCATATGGTCCAGCCTACAGCAATAGACTGCATACAGCTGCTGGTCTGCCATTGAAACTAGCTGCTGCTAAGGTTCAATAGACTAGAGCGATTGATCTCAATGTGTTATAATCGTTTGAACTTGGAATTATTCTCATGTAAATGTAATACGTAGTACACAATAAAATATCTTACAGATGATTACCAAATGATTGGGAAAAAATAGATGATTAAATATATTTCTATTTCTTTTGTAATGCTTTTATATAAAATGCAGCGCATCATTGGCATCCCTAACTAGGGAAACCGGGCCCAATGTGGTGAAAGGTGATCCAGCAAAGACAACGCCGGAGACTCCACGGGTGTCTCATGACTCACACGTGACCCATCACCACCATTACGAACCAACTTTCAACACTACTGACAGTTCCCTCAAGTTTACCCACATCCTCTACAATCTTTCACCTGCAGGTAATTCAATGCTCTTAGTCAAAATTCAACTTCAAGTTTTTTGAAATGTTTTTTTATTCCTTTTCGCAACGAATTGAGTCTAGCTTATGTGGTTGGACCATCTCTTTCATTCATTGGTTGAATTAATGCTAGGTGCTTTAGTGTGTGATTGTGTGAAGACTGTCCGACTGAGTTTAATATGTTATATACTTATATGGTACGAGTCTATGAGAGTAGGATACTAGGATGTAGTTGTAAAATCTTTGACACCTTGCTTTGAGTAGAGAATATGAGATCAGTTTGATGAGTTATGAAAGTATCCACCTTAATATGGGCCACGTGAAGTGTTTGTTTATAGAAAAAGCAAAAGGAAACTATAATATCCACAGCTATACCTAACGCTACCTTTTAGAATCAAACCCAATGAATTAAGAGATGGTTCTTAATTCATATTCATAGCTCACTAAGAAAATTATCATTTCAGTTTAGGGATCTGTTCAAACTCTTTTGGTTTAAGTATTTGTATAATATAAAGACCAGTTAGTTTAAACAAATTTGATTCATATTTTACATACGATCAGATATAAAAATTATCACTTCCCTCATGGTTTCTACTGTTCTGCACATAGCCAACCTTTGAGTTTGAGATTCTTAACATAACATTAAGGTTTTCTTTCCATATAACATAGAGCTTTATGAGCAAGCCTTAAAGCATGAGAAAGGTTCATTCATCACGGCCAGTGGTGCATTGGCTACATTGTCGGGAGCCAAAACGGGCCGATCCCCTAGGGACAAGCGTGTTGTCAAGGATGAGGCAAGCAATGATCTTTGGTGGGGAAAGTAAGTCGGTTAACTCTTTCTTCATTTTGTGCCAAGAAGCGCTCCTACTTGTGTGGTCACTAAAATTGTTGAAAGGCTTATTATAGTGAATTCTAACTTTTTCTACTTCTGGTAGGGGCTCACCCAATATTGAAATGGACGAACATACTTTCTTGATCAACAGGGAAAGAGCTGTTGATTATCTCTGCTCGTTAGAAAAAGTATGTGGAATTAAAATCCCATTACGGCATTACTGTCAGAATCAGGAAAACTTCAATACAGTAATTTGACAAAACTCATGAAATTGTGTAGTTTGTGAGCCCTATTTACAGAAATCAATTCAGGAATGTACAAGTAATCTTACTTGATGTCGGAGACTGCTTTAATAATAACTAAATTAAGTAAAACAAAATTCACTTAAATATAAGTTTATAACTAAGGCATGTAGCTCAATTGGGCTATTTGACAATATATTTTTCAATAATATCTACTCTATTATTAATCCTATTATCAGAAAATATCCATCTAATTATGTTGAGTAATATTCTGGTGTGAAAAAAGTAAAAAAATAAGAAATCGTATAAAGCCTTAAGGTGTGATCCTATTAATTAAGTTGACCTTTTCAAGTATAATAACCTATGTAAACATTACTGAAGTTGTATGGAAAACAAGAACACCGGGAAACTGGTATATAAGACTAATATTTTTACAGCATGTATATTTAGTTGCCATTAATAGCTAAAGAATAAATATCGCATTCCAGGTTTATGTGAATGATCAGTTTCTCAATTGGGACCCGAACAATCGCATCAAAGTTAGGATTGTTTCCGCAAGAGCTTATCACTCCTTGTTCATGCACAATATGTAAGCACTAGTCTGATCAAGAATATTATTTTATCTTTTTTTTTTACATGGCACCCGTTAAGGTTCTAGCTGTTTTTTCCCGTAAAAAGCACGAGCTATATATGTAGTGTCTTAAGGAAATGGAGAAAAAAAATATAGATGTTAGTGCATAAAAATAACTGGGTCGGTGACAGGTGTATCCGACCCACACCTGAAGAGCTGGAGAATTTTGGTACTCCGGACTTCACAATATACAATGCCGGTCAGTTCCCATGTAACCGTTACACCCACTATATGACATCCTCCACTAGCATAGACCTCAATCTCTCTAGGCGGGAAATGGTCATCCTCGGCACACAGTATGCTGGGGAAATGAAGAAAGGTCTGTTTGGCTTAATGCACTATCTGATGCCTAAGCGTCAAATCTTATCTCTTCACTCTGGGTGCAATATGGGCAAAGATGGAGATGTTGCTCTCTTCTTTGGATTATCAGGTATATATAGTATCATGAAAAAAGGCTAGAAGCCCCTCATCGTTGGTTGGTTTATGCTTTCCATATCATTTTTTACTAGTATGCCCTTTTTCGAGTAAATAATAACATTCTTGGATGAGTGTATAATGGTTATTTCAAAGGCGTTTATGTGGTTTTGAATGTGCTTTTTTAGGTACGGGAAAGACAACCCTGTCTACAGACCATAATAGGTACCTAATTGGAGATGATGAACACTGTTGGAGTGATTGTGGTGTATCTAACATTGAGGGAGGTTGCTATGCAAAATGCGTTGACCTCTCCAGGGAAAAGGAGCCTGATATCTGGAATGCTATCAAGTTTGGTACAGGTATATTTATCATGGACTTATCGAAGAATTGGTATTTTGTTTGGGTCATCATTACTGGTGGACATAATGGTTCTCTTTTGAGTTAATCAAACTGAAATCGAATAAATCCATGCCGATTAAGAAAAATTCAACAAAACCTTAAATATTTAAAAGCAATTCCAAAGAGAACTAAGCAGAACGGAAACAAGCCAAACTATGATAATTGTTCTTTGAATCCATTTTAGATCAAACTGAACCAAAAACCGAAGAAAAACTAAAACGAGCCCAAAATGCCCATTCCTAATCATAATGCACATGTTTAAGACTGTATATTTTTCTGTAATCTTTGGACATGAGACTCTAACAAATAATTTTATTAATTTCCATTTTCTTGCAGTCCTAGAAAATGTGGTTTTCGATGAACATACTCGAGAAGTGGATTATTCAGATAAATCTGTAACAGGTAATTACTAAAAATTACAATGCTCCTGCACATCATTGGCATATGTGTTTGTTGATGTACTGCATTTCTTAACAACCTTTTTCTTTTTGTGCTGATTTAAGTAGGATTTTTTTACGTTTGATTTCAGAGAACACTCGGGCTGCTTATCCAATAGAATACATTCCAAATGCTAAAATTCCATGTGTTGGTCCTCATCCAAAAAATGTCATTCTTTTAGCTTGCGATGCCTTTGGTGTGCTACCACCAGTGAGCAAATTAAGTTTGGCTCAAACAATGTACCACTTCATCAGCGGTTACACAGCATTGGTACACCTTAATCACCTCTGGTCTATTAGAAACCTTTCTTTATGTATTTACGACAAGTTTTTTTTTTCTTTTTTATTGATGAAATCAAAATTAAGGTGGCTGGAACTGAGGATGGTATAAAGGAGCCTACTGCAACATTTTCTGCATGCTTTGGTGCAGCGTTTATTATGTTCCATCCCACAAAGTATGCAGCTATGCTGTCTGAAAAAATGCAGAAACACGGTGCAACCGGATGGCTTGTCAACACTGGCTGGTCTGGTGGAAGGTATATATAAAAATGTTTGCAAATTTTGTTACATCTGCGTTAATGATAACCTTGGGAGTCGACATTGTTGTTATTTTAAAGTCATTGATAAAAACTCTGTTAAGTTTATGCTAACAAAATGTTGTGTATGTATTCCACTCCGTACTCAAATTAATGATAGAATTCAGGATTAGTTGAGGTCATTTAACCGGATTCATAAGACATTTGGTCCAAACACACTAATAGTCCGAATCTTGTGTTTTAACTAGTTCCACCCCAAATCCTATTAATTTCCTCTTTAATTTGTGAAGTGGATTCTAACAAGTAGTTTTGTCAAAGTTAGACGTGTTTTCCTTCCGAAGCTTCTCATGACAGTCGTGGCTTTCAAATGCCAATCCTTTGTAACTAGTTTTTGTAAAAAGAAGTGATGCAGCTTAAAAGTCAAATCAATTTTAACTAGGCTTTAATATTCTTGATATATCTGCAGATATGGATCTGGCAGCCGCATAAAGTTGGCATACACCAGGAAGATCATTGATGCCATTCACTCGGGGAAACTGCTAGAAGCAAATTACACAAAAACGGAGGTTTTTGGGCTTGAGATCCCTACGGAGTTAGAAGGGCTGCCTTCTGAAATCTTGAACCCCATCAACACTGTAAGTGATATATTGCAAGTACATTCATATTCTATATGTTGATTTACGTAGTATTATTTTTTAGGGAGTATTTAACTTATCTAGGACAAATATTTTGGAACTTATGTAGGACAAATATTTTGGATGAAATTGTCCGCAATAGGAGTAAAATATGGACCTAATACACCAATATGACTAATTATGTCGTTTTCTCAAAATATGACTTCGTTTTGGTCCTAAAAAAAGAATATAAGTAAAAAAATTGTCAATGAGTCCTATCTTGAGGAAAAAAATGGCTTTCATATTTGAGTAAATGTGTTATGTTGTGGTTGTAATTAGTTTATGTCCACTTATTTTATACATTGGTTTATTATTTTCTATTTAATCATTGTGTAACAAATTAGAGATTATTGTGAGGTGAAATAATTATAAGAATAGTCTAAAAAAATAAAACAAGGTCACTCTTTAATGGTCCATGCGCTATATTAACTTCTATTGATGCACTCTTATTATTACATATATGTGGCAGTGGTCTAACAAGGATGAATACAATACAACCCTGCTGAAGCTTGGAGGGCTGTTCAAGACAAACTTTGAGGTATTCTTGAACTACAAAATTGGGTCCGAAAACAACAGTCTGACTGAGGAGATTTTAGCAGCCGGGCCAAACTTCTAAGTGCTATTATCTGGACACAGATTGCTACAGATGATGACGAAAGAAATGATCAATAAATGAATTTGTACGAGACTATATATTGTACTAGAAAGGGTTTATTAAACAAAATGTGCAACTCTATGTGCTGGCTGAAGTGCTGAACAAGTAAATTTCACGTCTCTATAGTGTGTCCTTACTCTAATATTGAATGAATGTCGACAATTTGTTGCATAAACAAGACTTTGTTATAAGAATGAGGTGGGGGCGATATGGTTTATTATGGGATAATGATGAGATAACCTGAGAAGTCTAAAAAATATGGATAAATTTTCGGGTCTCTTGGGCATTTTATATGCCTTGAGAGTGTTTCTTCTTTAGTGGCATTTCATCACACCACCATCAACAGTCTTTTTAAAGAAGTGTGTTCATTCTTGTGTCCCCGTCGTTTTGGAAGAAATATGCTGCTGAATTTAAGATGAATGTGATGTTCTTGAACTATTCTATTATTTGTAGAACCTTAGTTGTGATACTTGTTACCAAGCAAAATCTTTAATCACAAATTTTTAGGTGGAGTATGAGGCTTTCAATATTAAGTTCACTTGGTTGAGTGCATTGGCGGACCTGGTGTTTTTGAAGGGTGTTCACTTGAACACCAAAGTGAACACCTTGAATTTTCAAAGAACCAGTAACTAGAACTAGGATCTTTGCTGCATTTTGACAATATTAGCCTCGTTTTGAAGATTGGATCCTGAGACTACCGATTCAGTCCGCCTATAAAATCAATTGCCTAAATCCTCGCACGTATTCGAGTGCCACTGCAAATATTTCAATCTTTTCACCCTTATTTAACAATCTATGCTCCAAATATCTACCCTAACCCGAGTGTGTGAAGTAGACGATGAATGGCAGAATGATGCTTGAGTTTAGGATCTGTGGTACTCGAACAAAATGGTAAACTCACCGCCTCAATTAACCATGTTGGACATTAGCGGGAGAAAAATCTCCTTAAATCAGTAAATCTGATCCTGTGTGAGCTGTCTTTTTTGGAGCATACTCAGCATAGTGATTAAATGGCCGTTTAGTACCAATAGCAATGAAATTTAGATCTTTTAAAAAATAGTAGGAAAAATAAAATGGTGTACTAATTTAATTTATTGACATTTTAGTATTTTTTTATTAGAAACATGTTGCTATAATTTATTAGCCGTTTAGTAATTTTTTTTATTGAAAATGATGCATTTGGATAATTCTTGCATAAATTAATACTATCATTTGAAAAATAATTTTAATGTTAGATCCGCCATTGGTTGAGTGTAGAGACTAGAGAGATAGTTGATGTGTAGAGCCCAAGAAAGGACATGAAAATCATCCATTGATGTGGACGCTAATAAAAGCCTATTTTTGCGCTGACTTGTGGATGCAAAAAATAAAATAAAGAAAATTAAAAACATTGGAGAAAATTAACAATAAAACATAACTTTCTTCACATTATCCAAATACACAAATAAAGAGAAGAAAATAAAAAAGTAAAGAAAATTTAGGGGGACCATACCCTTGCCCAAATTAAACAATTCTAAAAAAAAAGGATAACCAAATGAATAAGCAATAATGGATCTTCTAACTAATAATGGTAAATTGCCAAAAGGTACTTGGTTAAAGGCTATTTACCTTGTTTTTACTAACTTGTGAAATTAACTTGAAGTTACATATTAAAGTGAGTACATACACCCAATTTTCTCAAATATTAGTAATAATAATAATGATAATAATACCAATAATAATAATAATAATCATGGGAAAATAATTTAAATACCTCAAACTTTAATGGGATGTGAAATTAGTACCACAAAATTGCATATATGTAATATATATACCCTAAACTTTATACGTAGTATAAAAAGTTATTCTCGCACAACGATTGTATGTTTTTTTACAAATACAAATTTATTGGAATAATTACATTATTAAAATTATTTAAGCTTTGTTTTTTTTATCATCAAAACATGCCTCTATTCATATCAAAAGATTCAGGATCATTACATCAAGCAAAGGGAAAACAAAATAGACACCAACTGAAACTCCAACAACTACGACTGTAACCCTATGGTGAGACTTTGAGACGGTCACCCCTGAGAGAGCAACACAAATCGCTAACCATGTAGTGGGCTTGACACAGCCAAACCTATTCCCATAGATCCAACCATGCCCAATGACATAAAGAGAGACAAAAAACTCAAACAAACTGTCAGACCCAACAACAAAAATGGACGCAAGAAAACAAATAACAAACAAATAAAAACTACAAGAAAAACGTTCACGAACTCTAGCACCTCATGCATCCCATGGTGGTGGTTCAGGAGGAGGTCGTACCACTGGTACCATGCTAATTGATCCTCCATGACCTTTGGCTGCCAAAGACCATGCATCAATCCTCCGTCCCTGCATAACCAAACTCAACTCTGCTCCATGCGACCAGAGTAAGCGGATAGACGGCGCCGATCTTCTCCAACGACGACGACAACGCCGCATCCTCGAACCTTGACCACAATGCCGATCTCCTTGAGCCATGACAGCAAATCTGCCCTCCACCGATCTCCGCCCTCCGCATCTGACCTGGACTCCAGTCGAGCACCAGCGACCAAGGGATAACAAAGCCGATCTTCGACAAAGTCGAAATCGGAAAAAGGCTCCAGCGACCGACATAGTCAAAGCCCTAGAGAGAAAAACTCGTGATCGCTCTACCTTAGCCAAAAGCAGACCACTGCCCCGCGGCCAGATATGTGAACAAGAACAGCCAAACTTCGATCAATATGATCGAATTCGGAAAAAAAAGCCTAGAGGCGGCTGCCCTAGGAGAAACGATCTCTTGATTTGAGAACTAAAATAGTCCGATCCATACAATACTTTGCCTAGTCGCAGAAAGAAGTCGGGGAATCAAACCAACCGCAGCAACTCTAGGAAGCAGAAGAGCTTCGTCAGTCTCGCCCTCCCTCGCAAAATCAGATTGTAAGGTGTTGGGTGTCGATTTCTTTCCGGCTCAGGTCTCCAACCCTTTAACTAGACTCACACACACCACTCTAGGCTAGACCACAACACAACTCCAAGCTTCTTCTCTACCACTAAGGTATTCTCTCTCACACTCTCACACAAAGGAAATGGAGAAGAAGAAGAAGGGCACTGCTCACTACTCTCAGAATATCTCAGGCAGGCTACACTCTCAAGGAAGAAGTGAGCTACATAAATAATAGGCTGCCAGCAAATTATCAAGACAAGTCACGAGGGATGCAAAGACAAAGGCTCATGGGCAGACACAGACAGAAATGCAGCGGACCATAAGGAGAGGGGGCCAAGCATTAGGTAAGTCAACAGTCAATGAATGGCCACAACAGAAGAACTAAATAGGTATACCTTAGTGGGAGTAAACATGGGGTGCAAGTCAATAATAAAGTGGAAGGGAGGCCTTGGTAGGACCAATACCTCCAACATTCTCCACCTTATTGGTCCTAGGTGGTGTAGAGTAGCAATACAAAGTTGTGAGGAGACTCATCATCGCCGGATTATTACAAGTACATCATTGCGATCATACAAGTAATATATGAGAACCAAAGTTCCCTTTCGGACCAAGCTTACCGTGCAAACCCACTTCACGATGGACTGAACTCTACCAATCGGTCCTCGAGTTCAGAACCAAAACCATCACAAAACTATTAACAAGCACAACACATGTTAATAGACCACGCAAGCAAGCATCCGGGAGAAGTTGGGGATTCCAACTAATCCAACAACAACACAAAGCAAGTATAAAGAAAATAAAAGAAACAATATTATTTCTATAACTGGCACAGGCGGAGCTCACATAATCACATGGTATCACATTTTCAAAACACAAAGAAAATAGCATACCAAATATCACAAAGATTTTAATTAAAAGAGAATTAAGCACATTTAAAGCAAACTCAGAGGAAATATAGTCAAACACATTGCACATATTATTTCTCACATGCTTCCTAATGTCTCTATCTCTAATAACATGGCAATCACGCAACTCAAGCATATTGCACACAACATTCATATCATGCTCCACCTTAATAGAAATATTATTTTCTTTATTTTCACCATGAAAAACATTTTCATCCACAAATTTGGGTTCGGTTTCAACAAGTAAATCAGAATGAACATCAGGCAAATGCTCCACCTCATTTGGAGCAACATCAGGAGAAACAAGCAGGCAAGGAAATTCATTTTCAACAAAAATGACATTTCTACTCATCAACACATTGAAGCAAGTTTCACTCCTACACCAAAGCCTATAACCTTTCATGCAATCATGATATCCTAAGAAAACATATTCCTTAGTCCTAGGTTCAAATTTATCATTCACACGATTCACATAAGCAGCACAACCAAACACTCTCAAATTTGGCAAGTCAAGTGGTTTGCCCATGAACACAGATTCAGGGCATTTCCCTCCTAAGGGAACAGACGGGGACAGATTAATCAAATCAACAGCATAACAAATAGCTTCCCCCCAGAACTTATTAGAGAGCCCAGATGAAGCTAACATAGCCCTCACCCTCTCTAATAAAGTTCTAACCATACTCTCAGCAACCCCATCCGGTTGGTTTGTGGAGGGAACAGATTTATGCATAACAATACCCCAAGTATCACATAAATCACCAAGCTGACTATCACAGAAATCAAAACTGACAGTGGTCCTTAAAAAATTAATTTTCTTACCGGTTTGTTTTTCAACAAAGGTTTTCCAGTTTTTAAACTTATCAAAAACTTCAGATTTGTTCTCAATCAACAAAACCCACACTTTCTTTGAAAAATCATCAATTAACGTCAGAAAATAATTTTTCCCACCATGAGTGGAAACACTGTAAGGACCACACAAGTCAGCATGAATACAATCAAGTACATCAGTACACTTAGGTAGATCAGGAAAACCAACTCTAGACTGTTTTCCTAGCACACAGGGTTGCACACAATTCACAGAGTCAAGTACGAGTTCAGCATGACAAACATACAAGTTGTTTTTCATCTCAGCTTTGAAAACAACTAAGCAACCCTTCACAACTTTCATGATTCCCTTTCCCCATTTTCCCTTCAAACCATCATTTTCAAGAGAAGCACAAGATAGCAAATTACAACACAGCTCAGGAACATGCCTAACATTCTTCAAAGTAAGCACATAACCAGAAGAAAACCTAAGGCATACATCTCCTATTCCTAGCACATTGCATTTCTTCTCATTTGCTAAAGACACAAAGCCATGCTCAATCTCTCTATAGTTTGAAAAAACATTTTTCAAAGGGGACATATGAAAAGTACAACCAGAATCTACCACCCATCTGATTTACCCAAAGAATCAGATATCACAGAACTCAAATAGTCATAATCACATAGATTTTTCATCATAAAAACATCACCTAAATCATCTACACACGTAGTCAAATTAGCATGCTCACTATGCTCTTTTTTCTTAGATTTAGGACAGTCTCTTATGAAATGACCAGATTCGTGACAATAATAGCAACGCCTCGAACTAGACCTAGACTTAGATCTATGTCGTCTACTATTATTTTCTCTACCCCTCACATGCATAACTTCCTCGGATTTTCTACCCTCACCCATCTGTTTTAAATCTAATTCCTTACTCTTAAGACCATTAACCACAATGTCAAGAGTCACATTATCTCTACCATACTTAATAGCAGATTTCACATCACCAAAGGAATCAGGAATAGCATTTAAAAGAGCAATAGGGGAATAATCATCTATATGCTTATCACCACACAACTTAATATCCGAAATAAGTTTGGTAAAAACATCTAGATTTTCTTCAATATCTATAGACATATCGAGTCTAAATTTGAAGAACTTTTCAAGTAAAAATATCCGGTTAGGCAAAGAGGTCTCAGTATACAGTTCATTCAATTTATTCCACAGAATTTTAGCACTCTCTAAAATTCCAACTTTTCTAATCACAGAGTCAGATAAGTTCAAATAAATCACAGAACATGCATTTTCATTCATTTCAGCCCTTTTATCTTCCGTGTCAGAAATTAAATAGGTTTCACCAACTGCTTTAAAACATTTTTGTTGTATTAAAATACATTTAATTTTTTGCTTCCAAATGCTAAAATCAGATTTTCCATTAAATGGAGCCATACCATACTGATTATAAGCAGACATTTTCACGGAGAAAAACAAGCAACAAAATAAAATGTAAATTTTGCTGAAAAACAATTTAAATATTTATAAGGCTATCAATATACGAAGCAACTAGCACGAACACGGGAGTATTAATGAGCACCAAACTCAACTTCAAACCCCTTGTTCTTCCGTATAAGCACAAATAAATAATAAATTTTCAGCACAAACACAATACAACAATTCAATCAATTTAAAAACAGTAATAAACCTAAAACATATTTCTACACAATAAAAGATTAAATCACTACAAAAGCGATAAAAGGGATTAAAGATAATATACCGGAGCGAAACCCTAGGAGAGGCGTTTCGACCTTACCCACCCAATTCAAAAATTGGGATTTTTCAGAGTTGACTGACTGTTGACTGGTTTGACTGAGCTTTGACCGAGTTGACTGAGTGCCTGACCGTTGACCAGCAACTCCAGCAGTCCT